AGTCCACCAATATGGAGGAAGGATGCCATACGGTAAACTTTCCAGATAATACGTCTCGAACTCATACGTATGCTTATATGCTTTGCATTATTCCTCTCAATCCAAAAAAATCAGAAAATCAATAAAGGAATAATGATGCGAATGTGTCTGGTCCTTGCAAACTATCCAAAATACCTCCATTTTAAAAATCTCTGTCTGACACCCTCTCCTGTACTCATGGTAATCTGAAATAAAGCCCCAAAATGTTGCCAAACATTATCTTAGTATTTTTAACGTTCGGGAATTTGACATTTTATGTTAAATTTTAAATTTATGGTTTGAAATCGTAGTATGTAAATCGTTGGTTTAGCATTATCGATTTATCGATCAAATCACAAGATTTGAATAAAAGTGAATTTTCGCTTAAATTAGATACAGAAGATTTTTTTGTAACACTTCAAGTCTATTTTTTATTAAAAATAAAATAATAATAAAATAAAAGAAATAGATTTTGGGGCATTACATCAATGGTTTATCTATATCGAAATAGATTTTGGGGCATTACATCAATGGTTTATCTATATCTTGCATTGGTAATGCTTGTGTTAGTATAAAAGAAGCACAATTAAAATTGAAAGATGTTCTTGTGGTGCCAAATTTGAAAAGAACTTGCTATTAGTTGGGAAATTTACTAAAGATAATTCATGTTCTTTTGAATTCAGTGCTACTGGATTTTTTGTTAAGGATCAGAATTGAAGGATGATTGCGAGGGGGCATAAGCAAGGACAGTTATATGCATTAGATGGAGCTTTTCAAGTGGCTTTGAGCGCAATAAAAAATATGGGGGTGAATTCAGCTCTAATGTGTTATTGAACACTTACAAAATTGTGGGATAGAATTGCATGTTTCGCGCCCAGGAACTCCGGAGCAGAACGGAGTTGTAAAACGAAAGCATTAGTATGTAATCGAAACGGGTTTAACAATGCTCTTTTACGAAAATTTACCTCTGTCATTATGGGCTGAACTCTTTCTTACGGTTGTATATTTAATAAATCGTTTGCCATCTGCAGTGTTACCAAATGAAAGTCCTTACTTTAAACTCAACAAGCAGCAACCTGAATATTGTTTGCGGGTGATAGGGTGTCGTTGTTGAGAAACGCAACATTCGAGCCCCATTTTGAAGTGTTGGCTCAAGCCAAAGCCACAAGGGCCTGCTCGTGTCACTAGCCATTTTCGTCCCATAATGACTCGAGAATTAAAAAAAANNNATAATGACTCGAGAATTAAAAAAAATTGAATGAAAAGATAGCACTGCTGCCTTAACAAGCAGTTGCTGCTGCTTTCACCTACATTCAAATTTTCAAATTTAAAAAAAAAAAGAAAAAAAAAGAGCCAAGTCGCGAGCCAAATGCTTAGGTCGAACCTATAATTTTTGGCCTAGCAAAAGCTCGGCTCGAGCTAAAAAAGGCTCGAACCATTTTTACATGACTCAAGTTTAAGCTTTAAGTTTGAGCTCGACTTGTTGACATCTCTATCCACGGGTCACAAACTGATTCCGATTGAGAATAAAAATGACCAAAAATCTATCCAACCTAGCCGACAGATGAAAATTTACCCAAACTCACATGACTCAACCCGTGCAATTGAACCAAAACTAAATCTAATACTTCTATACATTCACATGTTCTCTGTCTAAGCTTAAAAACTGAACTTCCACTTTCGCATCTTCATATTTGATTGCCGTTGCACCTACTCCTCCATCCGCCCAAATAGTGTCATCAGTGCCAATCGCCGTTTATAGCCGTGTGTTTCCGTAACTCTTTCCATTTCTCTTCAGTTGTCTCTTTATTGAGTCAGATTCTCACTTGATCTGGTTTCTTTATTGTTCTTTATTTTTTTTATCCTTGATTTACTTCAATATGCTTCTTCCATTTTTTATAAATCTTAGTATTTTATTGGAATTAAAAAGAGTGGTCTCTATTTGTACAAGAACTATTTTCTGTATGAATCTCATAACATTTTTCATATCTGCATGTCATTAGCACAA